TGGCACAGGATAGAACAGCGTTTAGGGCTCTTGTACACAGGGTCACTGTGAGTCGCAAGTGACTCAATGACACATGACACAACAACAACAAGTTTTCAAAGTGAAAAATTGAAAATAAAAGCCAAGCTTTTTTTTTTTTTTACTTCCTCAGAGTATTTGGTAACCAAAAAATGGATTTGTAATCTTATTTCAGCATCAGACATTCTCAGTGAGTGGGAATGTATTATTTCTTTTGGGTCATGTTTGATATGTGTTACTGCTCTTTTTCCACCAAAGGTGTGTGTCGTTGAGCCTTTGACCAAGAGGGGAGGTCTGCTAGAGGGTGTGGTTTTAAAATCCCATGAGGCCCTCAGGCCTGCAACCCTCAGGCCAAATTTTTTAATTTTGAAATTAATATTCTTTAAATGACACAGCAATCTTTTTTTTTATTTTGTATACAGAATAACTGGAGTTACTGTGATGCTCCACATTGTTCCGTAGTCTTGTCAAATACCATAATGGTTACCCATTATGTACAATGTTTGGATGAGCTTCCAGATTTATTCATGCTGGGAAACAGGAGTGGCATCTACTTCCTAAACTAGATGCCTCTGGAAACTCTACAAACTCTCTAAACTCCATAAATGCACAGAAATGATGTTAGTTATAGAAAAGCAAAGTTTACTCTGAGCCATACTCAACTTGACAACACTTAACCACTGCTAAGTGAGACTAGTGGTGTTATATCTGGAAGAACACTTTTCCACTTTGTACATCACTCTTTGTCAAATCTGGGTTTGCTGTGATGCTGAACCTTGTGCCATTGGGGTATCAAATACCAGAATGGTTTCCCAATGTGGACAGTGTTTGGTGGAGCTCCCAGTTGTAAAACATGTTTGGAAGCAGGCGTGGCATCCACTTCGTAAACCACCATACCTCTGGAAACTCTGTAAACTTGGAGAAATTACTATAGTTATGGAAAGGCATAAGTCTTTTTGTTCATAGAGTCGCTGTGAGTCATGCTTGACTCAATGGCAATCAACAACAAGAAGTTGGTATATGAATTCCTGATCATTTTTTATCTAAACCCATTGTTGTGGCATCAACTCAGATTCATTGGAACCTCCGTTGGGTTTCAAGACTATAAATTATTCTGGAGAAGACAATCAACAAATATTTAAATATGATATGCTAGTCACTTTGTTGGATTTCTTTTGTCTATTTATTAGAGATATGCGTAATTTAATTATTAAAATGTTACATTAAAATACAAATCCAAATGCTTTGGTGTTGCATTGAAACCAACTCATAGCTGACCATCCAGTGGGTTTTTTTGAGGTTAAAAGCCACAGGGAAGGAAATTGCCTATCCTCCTCCCAAGGAGAAAGATACTGGTGGATTCGAACCACAAGAGAGGCCCTGCTCTTGGATTAGCAGCACAACCCCCTGTGAACTATGCCAACTTCTTCACATCTTTGTCATTATTTCAGTGTAAACATAAAAAAAAATCCCAAATAATATGGGCTTTTTTTGTTTTTTCAATGTGGGTATAAATTGAAAATTAATCTTCCAAACTGATAATACCTCTCCTTTCTCTTCTGTTACTTATCACTGTTAATAAAAATTCATGTGAGATCTATTAAAAATTTATGCAGAATGCCCCATAAGAGGAGAAAGGCCATGGTTCTGGTGTGAGGAGAAAGGCCATGGTTCTGGTGTGAGCCCTAAGTCGTCTGCTCTGGATTTGGTTTCTGGCTTCACTGGTGCACTCTTTTAAAAAACCCAAGGCAGGCTGTTCAGTGTCTGTATGAACAAGTGGATATGTGCGCACACATACATTCTTTATTATCCTTGGTCCTAATATGAAATATATGAACCAAAGAAAATAATTTCCTCAAAGTCACTTTCACATGGAGACAATTGGGAAGTGTGTTTTTGTCTTGCTCATGTCTTGAACCATGTTCATAAAGTGCACTTTTGCTATATTCTGCTTGTTGTCACCTAATTTTCTGTTTCCTTCTCCTAGGAAAACAGTTGGTGTCTTCTGCTGTGGCCCCAATTCTATTTCCAAGACTCTTCATAAGCTGAGTAACCAAAACAATGCATATGGGACAAAATTTGAATACAATAAAGAATCCTTCAGCTGAAAACCTTTGAAATGATTCAGGACTCTGAAAAAGAAAGGAGTGCAATTTTTAAGACTTTGAAACTCAGCTGAATCAAACAGCTATGTTGTACCAAAGAGTAGCAAGGCTTTCTTATTTATGATTATTTAAAATGGAAATGAAGAGAAAGTGGCAAGATAAGAGGTAATATTAAACATGTTTAATCTGAAAACCAAAGAAGCCCTGTAGAGTGTTTGATGTGGTGACTCACATTCCAATGTTCAAATTAAGGAAGGGATAAAAATACAACAAAACACAACCACCACCAAATCGCCAAACAATCTATTAAACACACACTATTGATCTCTCCCTGCGAAGTTGATAGCCACGACCTTCTTTCAGTTGGTGTTGGTTGAACATTTGCACGCTTGAACAAAATTAAAATTTTATTGAAACCGAGACCACATTTTTATGTTGCATATAGACAGAGTAGCTTTAATTTGGAAAAGCTGCAGGCAAATGTATTAAATGCTTCAAAATGCAATACAAGACTGTATTGATACGGGTACTTTGTGCCAGTAAGTAGCAAATTTTCTTCACTACTGATGTTAAAACCTCTACTTGATGTCTATAGGCTCTATGCTGATTGTAAATTGTGCAGATATTGCTACAGCATTGGTTTTTGTATTTGTCTTTTTTTCTCTTTCTATCTTTGCCAAAGGACATCTGCCCTTCCTTGGCATACAATTGATTATAATAGTTTACTAGATTCATTTTATCTCTCAACTTTTTTTAATCTAATATTACTCTATAGTAATTATCATTGATTTCCGTTATAAAGGGACTCCAGTCTAAGACTCATTTGTGTTTTTACCTTTTCACTATTTCAACTTCTGTTTTGTTTTAAATCACCATTTACTTTGGCACAAGTCCTCTGACTGTTTAGCATCTTAAGGTGCTTTGCTAATTTGCGCTTTTAAGAGCAGAAGGCGTCATGTTTATCATTTGGCACTGTGTCACCCTTTGCTGTATACTGGAGACAGTGAAAACCTAGTCATATTCCTAATCATGAGAAATATATTCTACTACACAAAAGGAAATACTTCATTGGTTATTCAAATATAAGTTCAATACCAAGAGGATTTTATTTCTCTGTCTGGCTCTCAATAGAGAATTATTTGATTTGAAGTCACAATGCAGGCTACATTTTGTGATTCTATCAGTTTATGCTCCCAGGCTATTATATTCTTGGCTCCAAGGACAAATCCATTTTACTGCTTTAAAAATTAAAGCATTTGTACAGCTTAGCAATTTTTGTTGTAGAGATCTATCAGTTGCTACCAAACACAGTACATTGCTGAAATCAGCAGTCTGCTTTTTCTTGCCTTCAAATTTTGCATGCTGTAACAATAACATGACAGATGCTACTGTCATTTTAGGTTTGTGTTTTGTTTTGGTTTGGTTTTGCTATGATTCACCAATAGCAGTCAAGCATGCTAAACCATCTAGGATTGAATGCCTCCAGCATGTTTGCTTGTAGATATTTGTTCCTTTGCTTGGAATTTGACTCCTCCCCCCACACCGCCTTCTGAGGAAAGAATGTGAGTCAGAAAAGGTAATGAGATATGTGCAATGTTCCTGTAGATTTGGCTCTGAAGGCATATTTCATAATAGTACATCTTGAAAGTCCTTTTTTAAATTAAAAAGAATTTTCATAAAAACATGTATTCAAAAGAACTGGTAAAAAGAATCTTTCCAATGAGTTAGTCCAGACTTGATGTGCAATACTGTGGCATAGTTTCTTATTCATCTTACTTATTTATGTGATTATCTTAATAGCCCTAATTTTAATAAAACGGTGTTAAGACTTTTCAGAAGCACAGTGATAGTGTAATACAGCTTTACTATTCTAAATGAACCTTCTTGCCTATTTTAAATGCCAATTAGATGTTCAAAATACTGTTAAAAGTTAAGTATAGGTATATGTGTGTGTGGGTGTGTATATATATATATATATATGCTTTTATAAAGAAGAATGACATTAGGACTTGCTCATGCATGTTTAAATAGCTTCTGTTTGGGAGATTATCTCACTGAGGCAAATACTTGTCATACAAGGCTTAAATAATTAATTTTTGTGGCAATAAATGTTAAAATTGGAACAGTGTTCTTGAAATCTCTATAAACTCACTTTACCTTTGCAGCAAATAAAGAAGAAAAGTTTGTTCAAAAGATTAAGCCAATCTGAGGAACATAATGTGTTTGTACAAGAATTAGCATTTGCGAGCACACTAGTGTGAACAGCCAGCCCCAGGGATGTAAGTTCCAGAGCTCTCACACTCTCTGGCTAATGGTGAGACAATAGAAAATTAGTTTTCACTCTGGAATTAAGAGTTGTTATTTGGACAAAATCAACAATTCTTAATATTTCTAGAAGGGTGCTGTTTGGGAATCTGATTAAAATTTCTGGTGTATATTGTAATATTTACATACAATTGTGGATGCCCTCATACTCAATTTTCATAAACAAGGACCAAAGTTAAGAACTAATGGGAAAAGTTATCATTCTCCATAAGTCTTTCTGTTTCCCTCCTTGGTTTGGGAAAACAATTATAAATTCTTTTAAGATTATACTAAAAGTTTAATTTTGTGTTAAATTTTTAACACAAAGGAAATTCTCCATTTAGTAAGCCCTAAAACAAAGAGTCCCATAAGACTTTAATCAGTTTTCAGTTTCTCTGTGTCTTTGGAATTACAAAAGGGAAAGATGCAATAATAAAAATCTGAGAATTGTATGTGTGTACACTCAATAGGTTTGTGTGTATGTATACATATAGACCAACATACATACCCATTTTCGGAGTTTACTTTTTTATTTAAAACTTTTTATTCAAGGTACAATTGAAATGATTGGTAGTTCTTCTTTTAGTGACTTAAAAACCCCAGTTGGATGATTGTCATAGCACAAGAGCATAAAGAAAAATGAAAATAATACCAATGTAGCCAAAATATAGCCTGAATTGATTTACTCTAAATAATCATGCCATTTATCAATCTTGAAATAAGTGTGTGTGTATATTCTTCACAGAAGGGAGTGGATTTACATTATAAAGTAATTTTAAATAGACGTGCTGGAGGCAAGCAAATGGTTGTCATCAATAGATAATGCTGATGTTAAAGAATTTTTATTATATTAAAGAGAAAGTATTATTACCAGAAACAATTCATGTGATTTTTCAGTGGTGTTTTGAGTGTCTTCCAACCTCAGTAGCTCGTCTTCCAGCACTAAATCAGACAACATTCTGGCTGCTACTCATAAGGTTTTTAGTATCCATTTTCTTTAGAAGTAGGTCACTATGCCCTTTTTCTTAGTCTGCTTTAGTCTGGCAGCACCAGTGCAACCTGCCAACTGTGGGTAACCCAGCTAGTATTTGAAAACAACAGCATAATTTCCAGCACCACCATAATATGCATAACATCACAGTATGACAAACTATAAAATGAGTGGAGGGGTAAGTAAAATACTGAGTGCTAATTCCAGACTCAGATGTAGAAACCCTCTAATCATCCTATACTCTCTTATAATTCAAAGTGTCTTAGCTCTGTGTTTTTACTTGCTAGATCTGTTTTCAGCTGTCAGTTTTCAATATGACAATTGTAATAAATGGATGTTATTGAGAATTTTGCATGGAAGACATAAGCAATAGCATTACTTCTAAGAAAGGCTAGTATTAAATGTGAACTTCAGACCCATAGATAACTTCAGGCACTTTCTAACAACCCAGGGAGAAGCTCATGCTAAAACAAATGGCCGTTGTTCTCTACTCACATGACTGTAGCTTGCTTTTTGTGCAAGAAGAGTGGTCTTTTTGTAAAGCAGTAAGGCAGGAAAGAAATCTAGCACAATGAAATTGGCATTAACTTTAACTACTATGAAAAATGAGAACAAACTATATTACTCCAAGTCTCTATCAACTGCCCCAAATTTTTTATTCAATGTATATTATTGTCAAAGGACGTAGTTGTAAAAAACCAGTAGAAGTTTTCCAGAGCAAAAGACTTGTTAAAGTTGGGGAAGGAGGAACCAAGTCCATTCGGAAAGAAAAGAAACCATATAAATAAAATAACTTTAAATGAGCAGAAAGTTAATAATGGGTTACAGTAGAGCAGCAATCTAAATGCAAAGGTTTAAACTGAGAATTTAACAACTGAGAAAGAAAAGAGTAACTTTTATGAAAAAAGCCAAGAAGGATAAAAGGATTAGAGAAAGAAAAATGCATTTATCTTTTTATAATTCAAAAGATGTTCAAATTTTAACACAAACCTGGATCTCACTCTCTAGTTCAGGAAAGTACAAGAATTAAAGTATCAAGTTTGCTTTAAAAGAGCTTTTCACTTTTCTTGTTGACATTAAAATTTTAGCAAACGCTTTCCTATTTTTCAAAATTGTTTCTGCTCTCTTTTAAGAATTAGAGCTTTGATGGACTGCTGTTTGACCTAAAAAGAGTTCTGCTGATGCGTAGTTAGGGTTCTTAACTGCAACCCAAAAGGTCAGTGGTTTGAATCCACCAGCTGCTTCAAGAAGTAGGAGGTGACAGGATTAATAGTCTTGGGAACCCTGAGGGTAGTTTTGCTCTGCCCTTTAGAATCATGAGATGTAGGAATCTCTTTGCTGGCTATGTATGCTTTTAGTTTGATCCCCCAAAGTCCCTGCCATTTATATGAGAACTGGCACTACCAAGTCCTCTAACATACATAGCAAAAAAGAAAGAAATGCTACCAAGCATTGCTTCTGCTACACACAGGATGTTAAAATTCTACCTTGGCGAAGTAATAAATCTGTAATATATCCCTGTACTTCTCCTTCTACTTGATTAACAAAAACCTTCTTAATAAATGAAGGGGCTCTTGTGTCTTATTGGCAAGAAGCTGTGCTGCAATCCCAAAGGCATGTGGTTTCAGGACACCAGTTGCTCTGCGGGAGAAGGGTGGACAGTCTCCTCCCATGCAATTAAATGCCTCTGAAAACCCACCAGAGGGTCAGCTATGGTATGGTCTGAATAAATGCAGACATGGAAAACAGACATATTTTTGGCAGATTCAGAACAGTATCTGTTCATCTTTATCAGCACATTCATTTGAACTAAATTTGAGAGGACTTCCTAATTAATCTCAGTGTTGAAAAATCCCCATGGCAGAAAATGAGGATCTTGCTTGCTTGCTGAAGAATTTACTACAGTCAACACACTGGTTTTGGACAAAGCAGGTACTTTCTGGACTTTCCCCTTCC